TGTCAGCTAACTGTCAAATTAGCTAATTTTTTTTTATCAGTGTTTTATATACTTACGCATACAATGTATCTTGACGTATTATTTAATAAATAAAATTAGTGTTTACACATACAAAAAAAGATGCCAAATTTATAAGACAAAATAAATATATAGAAGTTATATCACTATTTATCACGCAAAATTGCATGAAAAATTGATCCATTTTTTCTCGAAGCATTCCTATGGCGACAATCCATATAATTTAAGTTAGCGATATTGGGTATATTATGATATTAGGTCAACCTCTACACGATCCCCCCTGGATACCATCGTGGTTAATAATTGTTGAATTTGTCACGATGAGCCGACTGACCTACTTTCACTCTTACCTATCATCCCTCACCGGTAAAGCGCAGGCGAGACATTTATTTCATTTTCGCTCATTAAAAAAGAATTAAATAAGCAATTTAACAATTTTTTATATCTTTTACTTATTACTGAAATATATCAGGATTTTTGATTTGTGAAACGTTATCATCATGATATCAGCCTTTAACTGTCCACTGCTGAACATAAGCCTCCTCAGGGGGCCATTGTCAGTAGTTGCCCCGCCAAGCAGGCGGATTGGCAACCGCAGTTAGGCTTTAGAGATGTTTTAAGAGGGACGCTGCTACCTATCTCTTGCCTTCCCTTAGTCGTCTCTTACGACATTCATGGGAAAGGAATGGGTGCCCTATTCAATGTCGGGACCACAGAGCCAATTTGTAAACCTGCGTATAAATAAATGCAATGCAATTTCAATTGACATGTTTAACCTACACCGAGAAGTAATTGATGGCAAAAATGTGTACTTTTTTTGATGTGTAATGATGGAATAGTAACCCCGCGTGCGCTATCGGTATACACTGGCAGGGCACCAGCGAGGGATGATAGGTGAGGATGAAAGCAGGTCAGTGATGAATTCATAAAAAACAATCAAGATAGTTTCCAGGGGGAACCGCGTGGAAGTCGACCTGATAAGGTATATTGTTAGCAAAAGGACCTCTAGGCCTATTGGTAATTCCCCCTAGTAAATATATTACACTGTGTTTGCCCGATATTTACAGTGCAATGACTGGCATAGTTCAAAGGATAAGCAAGCTAAAGTGGCACTGGGCTGGTCACATAGCTCGAAGAGCCTATAACCGATAGAGAAGAGAGTCTCTTGAGTGACGACTCTATACGAGCAAATGTAGTGTAGAACAACTCTCCATTAGATGGAGTGACGACTTCAAATGCATTGCAGGGAGCCAGTAGATGCAGGCAGCTCAGTATCTCAGGCTCAGAATCGTTATGGCAATCTATGGGTGAAGCCTATGTTCAGCAGTGAACAGATTATGGCTGATATGATGACAGATAGATAGATAGATAATTTATTTGCATTACTTACAGCACATAGATAAATTATAACAGACACAGATATACATAAAAAGCGAGATAAGAGAAATAATTAAAATAAAATACATAAAAGCCGAATACAATTTTTCCTTTTGTGCGTGTGCCATAACAATAGAAAATGGTCACAACTCAGTTTGTTGCTTCGCCCTCAAAAGAGCAAAACACTGATATTCTGCTGTGACTAAAGGAAATAGGGTAACATGATGATGATTTTGTCCTTGATTAATGATTGCAAATAATTTGGAAGTTGCAATAGACAGACGCCAAATAATTTTGTCGTATCCATAATCGGATAAGTTCGGGTAAATATAAATAAGTGTATAGCTATGCAGATGTTACCTTCAAGGCTTTGTTAGCTGCGAGACACGCGCAGCACATAAATTAAGGTATCGGTGGAGGGGGGGGGGGGGTGTTACGAGTCGTGGAAGGGGAGATTGGAACTAACTTTATAACCGCAAAGTTATTTAGTGCGAACTGTTTACGATTTACTCTGAACGTAGTTGATTTTCAAAGTTTTGTAATATATAGTTGCCACGTAAAGTGTTGCCAACATCCGGCACGTGTCGGAAAGATTGTCATTTAAATTAATTTTAAAATGTTGGCAGTGGGATGTCGGGTTACAACTTAGATTATAAGGTATATAAATGCATATAGTAACAGAGAGAAAACATAAAAAAACATATATATTAAAGTGAAATAGACAGGTAAAATATTCACCTACAGAATATAAGCTCGAAGCGGATTTGGCGGTAGTAGCGATAGAATTTATTTTAAATGAATGGAGTTGGTTAGAATTAAGTGTGCAGCGCCTGAATATAATTTAAAATTTAAAAATATTAACTACAAATTTGCACAATTTTTACGTCATTACGCTTTAAACATTTATATAGTATTATAAAACTATCAGAAATACTTTATACAAGAATTGGTAGAAGAAACAAATACATAATCTTTATTGTTTCCTCCAAATGATTACAATAGTTAACTTTTTATGGATACAAACAATTTTTTTATGGATAAAAACAAGAAATAATTTCAATGAAAAAACAATGAGTGACCTTATCGCTAAAAGCTATTTCTTCCAGGCAACCTTTGGATGGAGAGGAATAATTATAAACTATTTGATCGGAGGCACTATGAAAGTTCTATAAAAATATCTAATTTAAATCGAATAAAGTTTTGACGGTCCGCGAATTGCAGTAAATATCATAAGACCAGAGGGAGACTTTGTACAAAAGTCGTTTGCTTGGGTACCTCTGTCTCATTCGTGTTTCAACCGTAAAGCGGTTGTGTTTGCATGGCTGTGTTTCGGTTTGAAGGATGGGATATGGCGTGAATTTACAGGGTACAGAGGAATAACACCTGAGTCCTTAGGAATGGCAACGCATAGGGAGTATCATGGGCGAAACAGTATACTCTGTTATGTCCATGGTACTGCTCATGTCTTTAGGCGACGGTGACCACTTTCCATCAGGTGGGCCGTCAGCTTGTTTGCCATTCTAAGTTGTATAAGAGAATAAGACATACGTGAATTGCTGCCAATTTTACAACTCCAATTCCAAATTTTAGATCTATCACATGCACATACATTTACAAAATGCGCACAATAATTTTACCTTTTTCTTGTCTTGTTTTTATGATAGCATTGCCTGTATATTAGTACGTACTACGTTATAATGCGTCGATGCATTGGATGGACATTAGGGTGAGCAGTGGTTAGGGAGGTAAAAGGATCATCATCATGATATCAGCTTTTAACTGTCCACTGCTGAACATAAGCCTCCCCAGGGGGCCATTGTCAGTAGTTGCCCCGCTCAGCAGGCGGATTGGCAATCGCAGTTAGGCTTTAGAGATATTTGAAGAGGGACGCTGCTAACCATCGCTTGCCCTCCCTTAGTCGCCTCTTACGACACCCACGAGAAAGGAAGGGGTGGTCTATTCTATGCCGGGACCACGCGGCGATTTAAGAAACTGTAAGTGAGCAATTTATACTTAATAAATAAATTAATTAATTAAGTAGTCAATCAATAATGAATATAATTTATTCGACCATAGACCGACTAAGTTAAGTTCCACGCGGTCGCGATCACTGATAACGGTTAGTTAAGTACGTTTGTTAACAAACCAACTTGTGAGTTAGAAGGACAAACACAATAGCTTAATGTAAACAATGAGTTCTCAAAGTGCGCTTTGCACAAAGCTGGTAAATGGGCGGCAAAACTTTAGGGTTAATTCGAGTCGATGCACAGGTCGGTAGTTTCTAAATCTCATTAATATAACGAATGTTTGAAGGGTGGGATATGACAGTGAATTTACTGGGTACAGAGGAATAACACCTGAGTCCTCAGGAATGGCAACGTATGGGAGGTATCATGGGCGAAACAGTATACTCTGTTATGTCCACGGTACTGCTCATGTCTATAGGCGACGGTTACCACTTTCCATCAGGCGGGCCGTCAATTGGTTTGCCATTCTAAGTTGTATAAAAAAAATGATGACGGAAAAAATGCGACCTTTAACCCTTGACCTTTAACCCTTCCTCGCAATATTTCATTTGAATCACCACATTGCATGCAAACTAATGAATAATTTATTACAATACACTGTTGCTACATTTCGGTACAGTGTTATTCTGCAACTGTATTACCATTTGCATGTGCAACTAATTGCATTTATATAGATTGTTTCATTTTATCTTCTAATACAGTTAGTTGTTAGTTAGTTAGTAATATTTATGTATTAATTTATTTATGTATTATTTTATGTATGTATATATTTATTTATTTATTTAATATATTTTGTGTTTGTTTATATTAGTCTAATTATATGTTTATGATTAAGTATTACGTTTTATATTCCTTCAAGTCAATAATGCACCGCCTACTTATTTCTCTGTTTGCACAATGGTTGACTGGTAGAGAACACCGTCCGGTCCGGCGACTTCGTCCGTATAATTGTATAATTGGGATATATATATATATATATATATATATATATATATATATATATATATATATATATATATATATATATATATATATATATATATATATATATATATATATATATATATATTTATTGGTTCAGTTGTAAATGCATCAGGAAGTTACAAACAATTAAATTTACTTCGATATTAATATAAGGATTTTCTAAAGAACATATTAAATTATTTTTTAAAATTATAAAAGATAAAACGAGAGAATTTCCATTTGATCTCTAGTGTGACACTCTCTAGTGTGGCCACCACAAATAACCAATGGCTAACTGATACAGCTGGGGGGAAAGGGATTGTTGGCAATGGAGTTTGATAGCCCCATTGCCAGCAATATGCCCTATTAGGTTGACCTCCACGTGGTTCCCCCTGGAAACCATCGTGAACAATTCTTGTTGATTCGTCACGATGGACTAGCTGACCTGCTTCATCTTCACCTATCATCCTTCACTGGTGCCACGCCGGTGTATACCGATAGCGCCTGTGGGGTTACCATTCCATTATCACCCATTAAAATAAAAACTGATACGGCTTGCTACAAGACATATGTAGATATATTTATATTATAATAAAAAATAACGTAAGTACTCACTGTGCCTCGTGTTCAGTCAACAGCTCTTCAAAGTGCAGCCGCAAGGTGTGAGCTGGCGGTGCTCTCAGCTCTGTCACGCAGTCTACGTCGTCGGGGTAAGGCCGGGGAAAGCCGGGGCTGGAGACTATAGCGTGCGGGTGCGAGTGAGACAGCAGTATCGTCTCGTTACACTGTATCTTCGACGCGATGTATGGATCTGAAACAACAATTTAACTAGATTAATTTGTAGATAGTAAACTTTATTTTGGAACAGGCTACCAAATCAACTTATAAATTTACACACTTTAACAACTTTGACGCTGATACTTAAACTAAATTTAACTAAACATCTACTACTAATCCTGTTTTTTTTTTTTTTTAATCGGTGATAATAGTATGGTAATCCCATTTGTTCTATCGGTATACACTGGCGGGGCACCAGTGATAGATGACTGATGAGAATGAAAGCAGGTCAGTTAGTCCATCCTGACGAATTTAGCTAGAATTAGCCACGATGGTTTCCAGGGGGAATGACGTGAAGGTCGACCTGACAGGGTATATTGCTAGTAATGGGGCTACTTGACCCCATTACTAACAATCCCTTTCCCCCCAAAAAATACTAATCCTATGTGTTTATCATCATTATATCAGCCGTTAATTGGCCACTGCTGAACATAGGCCTCCCCCATGAGGGGAAGGAGGTCCTCGCTTAGAATGGGCCACTTTTTCTATTCCCGTGTAAGTTCAACCGGGTTCAAACCGGTTTGGACAATTCTTTTCTATCCCATGGAAATTTTATTAAAATCGGTTCAGAAGTTTAATTTTTTTTATCAAAATAATTGATTTTTTTAAATTTAAAATTTTTTTTTTCGCAGACTCAATCATTAATTATTAAATAATCAAATAAAAATAATAGAAAATTATTAATTTATATTTAAAATTGACAAATAACTACAACTTGACACAATTTTGTAAGTTTTAAATTAAAATAAAAATTAAGGTTCTTAGAGTAAGAAAAAACTGTACCATGTGAATAACAAAAGAGAAGGAGACTTGTCGAAAATCGTGGTGAATAACAAAAGTTCTACAGATCAACGAGATGAGACGACAATAGTGTTTGCTTACACAGCGCTGTGACTGCGTTCACCATTACAAGGCCGCTAATTTTCATCAAAACCCAGTTTATATTCATGTGGCGACCTCTGTCTGCAGTATCGAGCAGTAATTTACTGCCCATCCTTTTTTATTGCGTGCAGTTAGACAGTGCTGCCACAGTCGTGGGTAATGTAGCGATCCTTTTAACTGTGTTTGTGAACCGTTTGAGAATGATACGTTATAAACAGGATTTACGTTATTTGTATTGGTTATAGCATCGTTGGAGGACATATAAAAATATATTTATTGTTGACAAAATATATATTTTAATAGATATACCGCGGTGGCGTAGTTGTAGGTAGGTAAATGACGTTCTAGATTCGAATCTCGTATGTATTCATTCAAATTGTATACGGTACAATTAGTTTTATTTAAAAATATGTTTATATTTTAGTAAATTAATTGTAATTTTTTTTATACAACTTGCAAACAAGCTGACAGCCCATCTGATGGAAAGTGGTAACTGTTGCCTATAGACATGAGCAGTACCATGGATATAACGGAGTATACTGTTTCGCCCACGATACCCCCCATGCGTTGCCATTCCTGAGGACTCAGGTGTTATTCATCTGTACCCAGTAAATTCACGCCATATCCCACCCTTCAAACCGAAACACAGCCATGCAAACACAACTGCTTCACGGTTGAAACACGAATGGGGCAGAGGTACCCAAGCAATCGAATTTTGTACAAAGTCTCCCTTATGTTGCGGAAGTTCATGTTACTGGTTATTATTTTATTATTATTATTATTATTTCAACCGTTAACTATCGACTGCTAAACATAAGCTTTCCCTACAAGGGGAGTCTTGCCAGTAGTTGTCACGTTTGGCAGGCGGGTTGGCAACCGCAGTTAGGCTTTTAGAGGTGTTTTAAGAATAACTCTGCTGCCCATCTCTCACTCTCCCTTAGTTTTTTTTTTATGGGTGAATATGGTATGGTAACCCCCCTTCGCTAACGGGATACGCTGGCAGAGCACCGGTGAAGGGTGATAGATGAGAATGAAAACAGGCCAGTTAGCCCATCATGATGAATTCATCAGGAATTAACCATGATGGTTTCCAGGGAGAACCGCGAGGAGGTCGACCTGGTTGGGTATATTGCTAGCAATAGGATTCTCAGTCTCCATTACTAACAATCACTTTCCCCCCACTCTCCCTTAGTTGACTCTTACGACACTCAAGGGGAAAAATGGGTGGCCTATTCCATGTTCTATTCTATTTTTTTTTCATGTGAACCTAATATCTCTCATACTCTCACGAATTCCAAAAATAGGTATCACGTGTAAATCTTTTTGTAACAAAAATAACTTTAAAACTTTTCCGAAGGGATTCAACAATTTAATTAAGTTCGAAATTGGAACTAGACAAAGTTCTGAACGACTTTGTTTGCCTCAACTTTTTTATGTGAGAAGGGTAATCAGATTTCGATTCGCTGCCAAGATTCCCCTGAACTTTTAGTATACGACTTCAACTGATAGGATGAGGAGGCCTGTAACAAACTACGTTTCCAGGTAATCACTTGGTACCAATTTTGAATTTGGAATCTGCCAACAGAAGTTGGCACACGGGCAGCAATCGGGAAGCTGTATGCGTTGCCAACTGTACTAAACGAATTTATTTGTGTACCCTATCCGTTTAAAAGAACCTTAACTGTTTTAACACATAAAATGAATTGAGGCTTTAGTCAACGTCATTCATTACGTTTATTTGATTGTTTTCATCCGACTTCAAAAAACGAGGTTGTCATTTCGGTTGTATTTTTTTTATTACCTCAGAACTTTGTAATTTGTAAACAGAGTTAGATTCTTTTTTGGTTTGTAAGGATATACTTTGAGATTAATCCCATCGATTTCATCAAAATAAATTCAGTAGACTAGTAGTAGTTTTTACATCAAAATAACTACCTTTTATTTGTTTTTTGTGTAACCAAGTTATAGTTAAATTATATTATGATAAGTTTAGAACATGGAAACATTGCTCAAATAATAAATAATAATACACAAAGAAGTGATAGTGTAACCTATATATTTGTAACATTAACAAGTAGAGGAAAGTATGTCAGACGAGTACCACAAAGTGCAGGATGTTGTCCTCCTTTCCCTTCATGATGAACTTTTATATGAGAATCTATGCATATATTACATATTTTATTACATTTATACATACTAGGTACATTTTCTGTAAATTTTATAGTATAAAATAAAAAGTTACCTACAGATAATGATATTTCGGCAATGATATTATTCTATAATTGATTGAGTTGATATTTCTAGACGGTTGCATAGATTCATTTATTAGTTTCGTCGATATAAGTGCAGTGCCGCCTCTTAAATAACGTAGTAATTACTTTCTCTGTGTTGCTAGATAATAGGAAATGTAAAGTAACCATTTTTTTTTTAATATTGTAAGTACCTATTTACAAAATTGTAAGCACCATTATTAAATAGAATGTTTTTAATATTGTTCTACGTTCATAGTTAGATATTCAATTCTAAATAATGTTTACAGAATAGCTAGTCTCTTAATAATAATAAATATAATACCTTAGTATAAAACGCATTAAGCTTGAAAAAATATATTGTGCTTAAAGAGTGTTTTAAAATTTCATATCAATGGTAATAAATTCGAAAGTTTATCGTGGAAACATAAACAACACTTCTGCGAAAACACGCCATGAAAGGCGAGCGAGTTTATGCTTTTTTTTTTATAGTTCAATATTATATTTTATGTCGAAAATACTAGTTTCTGTCGGTGATATTGTTTAGTACTCATTTTTCTGATGTAAGTGAAACGATTTTCTTGCCGAGGCTTTTCTAAGAGACTACAGCGTGGTCTTTCAAAAAGGGCATATTGAGGTTTCTTAAGGGTTGGCAACGCGCGTGTGGCAACCCTAGTGTTACAGGCGTCCATTGGCTACGGTAATCCCGTTTACCATCCCATGGGCCGTATACTTGTTTGCCACTTTTAGGCATTAAAGATGCTTTAATAGAGGGACGCCGCGGCCCATCCTTTGCCTTCCTTTAGCCGCCTTTTACGATACTCACGGGAAAGGAAGGGGTGGCCTATCCTATGCCGGGACCACACGGCGACACATTTTGTTTGTGTACATATTTATAATCTGTATCATTCTTTGAAGGGTATAGTAAAGTTTTTAATCATTAATTTATTCAAAATGGCGGTATACAATGTAGTCGATATCTTTTGGGCAACATCGTGTTCCCGCGGGCGATAAAAGCACCCGACTTTAGTTTTATTGCTGTTCGAAGACGAAGTTCCCCGATAAAACTGGGCAAGTGGTGAATTACATTCACAGTTCGGTGGGCCCGTACAGTTTACTCGGTTTTATTAACCAGGTACTGTGTAGTCGACCCTCGTCACTTCACGTGACAAGGGTTGGCAGTGCGTTCTTGTCGATGTTGCAGTTGCAAGTGTTTATGTACATCGGGCGGGCCGTATGCTTGTTTGTTGCTCTCGTTGTATAAAAAAATAACGATTTATTTGCACTTAATGTTGTGCAGAGGAAAGATTTGAATGTTTAAACCGTCTTTCAAAAAAACGTTAACGCTCACTTTTTTATTTTTATCCGAGCAGTAAGTGCTTTATATTATTCCCAAATTCGTGTATAATATAGTATATGTTATATATGTGTAAGTATATTTGTTATTCATATATATTTATTCGTTTATATATGTAATTTTAGTATGTACGTATATCAATAATTAGTAGTACCGCATTCGAGTATTCTGCCACTTCCCTATGGTTGACTGGGAGAGAATGCATTTAGCATTAAGTCCGCCATGTACACATATTTGTACTAATGAATAAATAAATAAATAATATATATAAACATACATACATATACATATTTCTTCTATTATATATTATATAACATAGCTGTGTGCTATTTTTGAAAATTCTAATTACCCTTGCGATGCAGCATCGCTAGCACATCATAGTTTCTTTTATAAAAGCGACTTTTATTAGAAAAACATACTTATAAACGACAAGATGTTTCAAAAACATTTCACGGACACTGGATTGAAAACAGAAAATATTAACTC